GTGTAAATGGAAAGCGAGCTCATTTCCACAATGCATCCCAGGCAGGGGGTGATTCATGGCTTCTGAACTGTTTTTCTAAAATACAGCACGGTTTTATATCTTAAAAGGATTACATTTAGTTTTATATATTCCATATGAGAACACACTTAAGCTACACGTACATAAATACTGCCTAACCACCGCGTTTCCTTCGAACAAGTTATCACTGTGCAATACTTTGTCTTGCGAATGGCTTTATATGGCAACTCATACGTTCACGTCTGGGCCTGACCACAGCCCAACGCGACTCCATCATTCTTCGCAAGGTTCACGATGGCTCACAACGTGGTCCCCCCCCCCCCCCCCCCACTGGGCTCTGCCCAGGGTCTCCGCAGCCGCCGGGCTCTCTCCGACCGTCCCCTTGCATGGACGGTGGCGGGCATCTGCCGTGGGTGCTCGCGGCTTATTCGGTGCCGGAGTGCGCCGTTGGTTTCCCGCGGTCGCTCTATTCCAGGAGGGGAGAAGGAGGCGATGAGACGTTCATTGTCGGTCACTTCGCTGTGCATCCAAAGGTTGAGGCTCGGACCGCTCTGGGGGTCTCGGCGTGTTGCTGAAGGAGCGCGAGTCGAGGGCGGCCGCCGTTGTCCGTGCTTGCAGCAAGCCCCCCTTCGTTTTAATTCGGGGAGACCCCCCCCCCCCGCCACTCTGTGGGACGGTGGCGTTGGAGAGCTCTCACTCAGAGAGGGGTGATGGTATATCGGACACTCTAATGAGTTTTGTGACCAGCATTTAACCTTTTATTGAACTCCTCATTTTACGATGCCCTTTCATTACGTCTTGTCAATACGTTATTGTAAGGTTTGCCAGGTCCTCCTTGATGTCAAGAGTTTGGCGAACATCACCGCCTTTCATTTGCGTTATCGCAGTGAATTGCATATTACGCCCTAATGAGTGGCACGTGTGTGAGATTACAGTCAAGCTCGCTTTGAAAGTGCACGAGTGCATAACAGCTGGGGAAGTCGTTAAAACCATTTACTCATAGAGAAAGGGCGCGCCGTCCATCCGTTCAATCTTCAGCAGGCATTAGAAGTTTGCCGCTTGTCTTCGCCGCTCTAGATTGTAATGCGCAGGGATTGCCCATTCAAGAAATGTTTGGTCCACGGGGGGAGTATTGCGGCCAACATTGCAGATCGCCAGGGGCACTCGGCGAAAACAGCAAAGTGGTTTTTCGACTTCATGCTGCAGTGGCCTCGACTAATTTTGTCACGGTGGCTTCCGGGGCACACAGTGAGACCCTTCGTGTGCGCACGCCGCCAGGAATACTCGCTTCGTGTCCTGCTTGCTCAGGAGGCCACATGAACACAGCCAGCAATGTCTCGATACGAAGAAAAAAAACATATTCAGTAAATATAACTGTATTTATTTACCCAGCAAAGCCACCACACTCAGTACAAAGATGCGCGTTTTCAGGAGGGGCCTGCTACATTTGGGATGCTTGGTAACAAAGCCAATTATATTATATGGTACTGTGTTCGTCGCTATGGGATGAAACCGGAGACCTCAGAAGAAGCCCAGGCAGAATCGGGGGGAGGGGGGGGAGTGGTGGGACCCAATCAACCCCATACAGAAAGGCGACAGAGTCAGCAATCGAACCCAGCTCCTTCTCGCTGTGGGGCGCGAGAGTTGCGCTGTACCGTCCCTCGGGAACAAATAAAAACAACCGCGTGAGATGTACTCAAAAATTTATTCGGATGCGTTGGCAATTAACGTCGGCAATGACTTTCATGAGCTTGGTTTCACCGCTTTCATCCAAAATCTGCGCTTGTGGGCAGCGGATCACTGTCGCCAGAATCTGGTTGCACTGCGGCCACGGGGCTGAGTCGAGTGTATGTCACTCTCGCAATGGACCAGAATCGACGTTGGCTCATTGCAACAATTGAAGGAAAAAAATAAGCAATTAAAATAGATGTTGGCTGTGTCGAGGCAATTTAAGGGACACTCTGTTGCATTAAGAAAAAAAAAGCTTTCTTTGTGTTTCTAGATTTGAAGCTTGCGTGACTGCAAGGATTCATACTCTTAGTTTTGTCGGTAAAGTCACGTAGGTAAAAAATGAAATTAAAATCACACGCAAGCGTTTAGCCTTGTGTTCAAACATTTGGAAGCTAATGCTAAGCATTTTTTCAATATTCTGTAAGGATGGTCAGAATTTATGTACAAAACAGCTGACTCTGCCCATAACATATGGCTCTTTAATTATAAATAATACATACACAGCAATTTCTGTTATTTCTACGAGGTTTCAAATTTAACATTGAAAAAAAAGTTTAAACAAAAAAGCAACTGAGCTTTCATATCAGATTTACACACGTAGAAGAGTAGACCAAATGCCCTCTAGAGCTGGCTCGAGTGGTGAGACCCTTCCTCCAGCAGTGGTGCGAGCGGGCAATCTCAGGGCTGCACCTTTACCTACACATATGCGTTGAGTAGACAACGCCAATCCACGATTGGATTTGAGATGGGACGGGATGGATTCATACATTCGGATATAATTATGCATGCAACTCTATTGCTTTTGGTAAGATGATTATCATTCTCATGTTCCGTGCTAACCATTTTAGTTACTGACCTTTTGGAGCACACGACAGCTGTCAGAATGCTAATGTGATTTTGCATCTGGACATCCATGTAAATGTGACTTGGGCTTCAGTAGCGCGGATTTCTGTGCCAAGTAAGTCTGCGACACGTCTGCAGTTGGCACTTAAACATCTTGTCACACGCAAGCGATTATATCTCCTTATAATGTACGCAGTGGGGCACCCAGATTTTTAATGAAACTTGGATATGATGAAGATTTGCTTTGAATGGCCAACAATCAAACTTTGTTCACGTTACATTGATTACTTGGCTTGGAATGAAAATTCAATATCAGTAATTTTGCTTCACTTCACGCACGTTGATAGAGATGATAAACAACTTACATAGAAACAATGTTTTAACAAATATCTTGTAGAAATGTAATTAGTGGTGATTGATAGTGTAGTATCTGCGCATTGGTCAGCTACATGCTGCTGCAAGTTGCACTTCACAGCTTGGATAACAAACAACTCAACACTTTCATCAATAACACTGTGGCCTTTAAAGTAAACATATATAAAACAGGAGATGTTCTGGGCAATGTGACTTCTTTATAGCACGTACATAGAGAGGCCAGTCGAGAGGCACATTACACCATGGGGCCTGATGAGAATACATTTTTCTTCCTAATGGCCAGTTTTTAAATGTGCCTATGAATGGTGACATGGGAGTAGCCATTTAGTAACGCGCAAACTTCAATAATCAAAAAGTATGACGACTAAACAAAGTCATTCATATTGAAAGTAAAACGATATAATGTTCACGCGCTTACATCAGTTCCTGCGCGAAAACGAAACTGTTGATTCTAAATCTCGAACCCTCGGCGGTCGTTGCGATCCAACGAGTCATGCGTGCTGGGGCGTCTATTTGCGAAGGCTCCATGGCCAATTCGTTTTTCCTCGACAACGCACGGTAATTGACACCCTTGGGCAGCGAGTGAACTTAGACGATCGCCGCCATGGGAGAATGGGCAGATGTGTGTGTGTGTGAAAATGCGTAGGAAAAAAAAAACACGGAACGGTAATGCGTCGAGCATCACGCAAACTCCTGCTGGGCTTGCCGCACGCCGCAACGCGTTACCTTCTCATGTTAGAGCTCGTGTCTGCACGCAGCTCAAGCGCTGACTTCACAATTATCATCATAATTAGAATTATTTTTTAGTTTGGCTTTCTCTGGTCTCACACTGGTAGAGACTATGCCCGAAAGAAGGCTGTCTCTGATGTAGTTTCAAAGACCAATCAGTTGCAAAGACAATGCATATATTACAGAGCATGTTTTTGTTTGCATGCTCAGTTGCTCACCACATGATTTATGCTCACCACATGATTTTTTTGCAAAAGGTTTATGTTTGATGTTTGAACATCTCAACACCTGTTTTATTGCCAGAAAGGGTAACACATATTGTTATACGTTCATTTACCCAGGAAAGTCTCGAGATTCTCTTTACAGAGGGTCCTGCCAAGTTTTTTCTCAATAGGGGGGCGAAATTGACATGTTGGAGACCCAGTTGAGTCATTGGGCAGGTACATATTTTAACATTGGAATTTTTCGGCTAATACCGGTTACATTGTATGTTTTATTTATGCATTTTAGCTATGCAAGGAAACTGGAGAAACCACAGCAAACCCATGCAGATCAGGGGGAGAGAACATGTGAACCATACGCACAGAACGGCGTCCGAGTCGGGCATCGAACGCAGGACCATCTTGCTGCGAGGCACAAGTGTGACCACTGCGCCACCACCCTGCCACCCACAAACGAGGGCACTAACTCTCCGAGCCTCGATGTTGAATTTTAATCTGCACGGAGCGGTGCCCCATGACTCAAGCAGTCAGCACCTCCATTTATTCAGCTATACAATTCCACATTACATACCACAAACAATATTTATATCCTGGTGACTGAAGAGCTCTGTACAGGTCACGATGCCGCCGTGGTGGAATGCTTAGCACACTCTGTTGGAGGCCCTTCTGACAGAAGTGACGTGAGCAAGTGATTGCAGGGTTGCACATTTATATTGTTACGTCAGTCTCTGACCAAATCACCCACAATGCACCCGGTCTCGTTATATATCTCGGAAGTTAAGCAGGTATGGGCCTGGATAGTGCTTGGATTCGTGACTGGCACATACACCAGGTTACTATCGGCTACTGCGGAGTCTACAGAGGGGCAGTGTAGAAAAATCCATCCGTGTGCTGTGCTTCTGTGCGCCGTGCTCGTATTGCATTGCACGTCCTTGAATAGGCAGCATCGGCTTGGGGTAGGCCTTCATCCAGCAGTGGATCGAACCGTGGTCTATGACGAATTAGCCTCGCAGCCACGCGAATCGCTCGCCCCGCTGGTCTCGATAACGGCTTGGCGGCTTGCGTGCGCGCGTGCACTTCCAGACGAAGAGCGGCGTCGTGCTGCTGCACGATGGCAAGACGGGCTCGCACGAGGTGCGGCTCAAGCTGTCCAAGGACGTCCTCACCGTGCAGAAGCAGGACGTCGTGTGCGTCGGTGGAGGCTCCCTCTCCAACGTGAGCTCGCACGCGGTGCTCCGCCGTTCCCTCCACCTTCCCTGCCCGCCCGCCCGCTCGCACGCTAATGACCGCTTTGTCTTCTTCGCAAGCCCTCTGTGGTTAATTAGCTAAATGGTGTTTTGTTTTATTGTGTGCGGTGAGTAAAAAAAGAATTCACCCGCAAAATAATTGTTTAAAATGTATCTTGCGGATGCAGCGCGCGCCGCGATGCACAGAAGGGATGGGACATAGTTCCCCGGATCCAGAACTATAATGGTGCAAGTTTAATACCTGTGGGGCTTGAAGTTTTTTTTCACCGTAAGTTAGAGGATAAATAATGTGTGAGTCAAAAATGAAGGAACTCAGTATAGGTTTTAAAGGAACATCGTTTTTAGTCATCTAAATACGTATACACTTTTGCGTGAAATTGTCGCCTTTTTTAAAAGCTGTTTTTTTTTTCTTTAATGAAGTCTAAAGTGAAGTCTAAAAAATATGTTCGGCTTTGACAAAAATGTCAACGGTTGCTGTTGGCCTGCAACTGTTGTAGGACCATTTCTAGCCAAGGGTTAATGTCCCTCTGCATTGGCAGGGATGTGTGTCCAATATTCACGTGAATCAGCCATCACGTGGTATCTGGCGCGACACTTTTGTTAACACGTTAAATTATCACAGTATGTAAATTATCCAAACGTGTGAATCACGAAAGACCCAAAAGTCTTCTTTAAACTCCCAAAACTCGAAATCTGAACATTTTAAATTTGAAACTGGGCTCAAGTGAATTGCTAATCACAACTCATGGATCAGCTCTGGGCAATAGAAGGGCAGAGACATAAAGTCCATTCAAGAAGCTGCGATAAAAAAAAATCTATTCTGGACTGGGTCCAAGTGGCTCAGTGGGAGTAAAATCCAAACTAAATCTAGCGGGGAGCGGAGGGGGGTGATATCGGGTGGATGTGGAGAATGGGCCCAAACCCCTGAATCCTCGATTTAACTTAAAACTCGACGGAGTGGTGACGGCTCGCGGTTTGGGAGCGGCGATCCCCGCGGGGGGGCTGCGTGATGGAGATACCGAGGCGTAGACGGGGGGCCTCGACGGCTCCGTGCGACCTGTGGTGCTGCCACCCCCGGGCGGCGGAGGCCCTCGCCGCCGTCCCCGCCGGAGGCTCTCACCGCCACGTGGACGCGGTGGTGCGAAAACGCGGTCGCCATTTATCCTCATTACGGCGCGCGCCGAGAAGGAGCTTGCGCGCTAAAGGTTTGGGTGTCTGTCACCGGCGAATCCGACGGGTGACTTGCGGTGTAAACTGCTCGTCGTGTGTCACTGGGCAATGATTTCGTCTCGGGTGTTTGTTTTGCTCGTTATTTTTGTGTTCTTGTTGTTGTTGTTGTTCTTCAGGAGCGAACGGTCACCCTATGCAGGCAGAGAGTCGGAGGGTTCGGACTCAGTATCAAGGTGGGAATAATTGAATTGGAAATAAGTAGCACGGAACAAAATGCCTATTGCATTTCCTTTTGGACATAAGTAGTGCACAGGCCTCACACAACCTACTTACATTTTTGTTCCTTTCAAATACAATTGCAATTTTTTTTAAATAGGACAAATTACATTATTTCGATCTTGATTTGAAGCTTTCATGGCTGCAGCAATCCATACTCTTTGGTTCTTTCGGTAAAGTCACGTAGGTAGAAATAATACAATAATAAAATAATTTCTACCTACGGGACTTTACCGAAAAAACCAAAGAGTATACATTATTTCGGTTTGCATTACCTTTGAAAGCCACAATAACCTCTTTGAAAGTCATTGTATTGTAACATTTTTTTGCGAACAACCATGGAATTCCGTGTTAACATGAACACGCGTTTGTGTGTTGAGATATAGGGTGGAGCAGAGCACAACGTCCCCGTGGTCATTTCCAAAATTTTCAAGGATCAAGCAGGTAGGATTCGCGCACATTCCGTCATCACAATAACAACACATTTGGCAGTGCAGTAATTTTGCCGACTTTAATGGCGACCGAGAATAACAATAAAAAATGAGCCGTCATGCAGAAACGTCGCGTTGAAAGCACGTACATCAAATTGTTTATCGATGGGCAGCATGCTCTGTAATGAGTGAGTTGGTGATCTGTGGAGAGTGGCAGGGGTTTAGGTCTGCTGCATCGCTCGGGGCTGTTCGCTACAGCAGCCTGACCCAGTTCCCCTGCGCTCAGGCAACGCGTTCGGGCAACGCGTTTTGGTATGCGCCTCCGAGCCGTCTGACGCGCTTGCCTCGTCTGTCCCTGCAGCGGACCAGACGGGGATGCTCTTCGTGGGAGACGCCATTCTCCAGGCAAGTGCTGATGTGTAGTGACGAGGAGCAAGGAGTGGCGTGCGAGCTCGCCACTCGCCATGCGCATCGTGAGCGGTGGTGTGTGGGGGGGGGGTGACAGCTGCCACGGCCTGCTGCCCCTGGGGCGTGCCCCCCCCCCCACCTCGTGCTGCCCCCACCACCCCATCCCCGTCACACCACCGTCCCGTCTGCCACTCGGCTGGCGCTCGCGGCGCGAAGCTCGCCGCCTCGACTGCCAGCACCCTCCCCTCCATCGCCGCCGTCGCCGGGACCGAGAGGGTTCTTTGCAGCGCCGAGGAACGCGCGCGCGCGAGCGAGATGATTCCTGCGCGCCATCTCCGTTTGGCGCTTTAGTCGAGATGGGCGATTTCGTGATTTCGCGAGCGGGCAGAGGGCACACGCAAAACACACACAACTCGGCAATCTTTACAAACAACAAAAAGCGCGCGGTTAAAACAAATCTCTAAACGCATGGGGAAGGTGGTGATGGGCAGAATGAATATTGCCACGAATGTCCGTCGCGTGATGCGTGTTTAGTCGCGTGATGCGTGTTGAGTCGCGTGATGCGTGTTGAGTCGCGTGATGCGTGTTGAGTCGCGTGATGCGTGTTGAGTCGCAAGCTTTGCTCCGCACCTTCTCCCGGACGGGAGGCGGTCGCGTCCCCGCGTGCAATTTGCATGCGGCGCCTCATTCCGTTGTAATGGCATCGTCGCCACACTCGGCTGCACCAGCCGCGGCTCAACGGCATCAAGCCACGGCAGGCTCACTGTCTGCGGCGGCACTTAGAGCCTGGCAGTCCACCTGGGGATTCACCGATGCAGGTTGCAATTCCAGGTTTTCTGTTGTTGTTTTGTTGTTGTGTTGTTGTCGTTGTCCCCCCACCTTTCATTCTCGCTGTTAGTGGGCGCGCACTGCGACCGCATCCATCGCTGCGGCTCGCCCCGTGCATTCTGTCGCTCGCAGGGCCAATGGACGAATCCATGAAGCGCTGCCCGCCCGCTCGACGTTTCGGCAACGCGGCCCTTAGTTAGGGCGCCGCGGGAGCGAGATGTTAACTACCTCGCCTGGTATACAGGAGGTCGTGGGTCCGATCCCGAGATGTTAACTACCTCGCCTGGTATACTGGAGGTCGTGGGTCCGATCCCGACCCCGATGCCTGCTGCTGTATATTTGGAGTTGGCATGTCTCCTAGTCCTCTGGAGTTTTCACTTCACATTTGGACAAATGTGTTAAGGTTATTTTGGCTGCTATCAATTTCCACATGTTGTGGCCAGGTCGCGTCTGAAAAAGAGCTGCATAGCTCAGTGGGCCTTACCTGGTCAAATATAAATAGTTCAGTTTTAGGATTTCGGGGGGTGGGGGGGTGGGGGGGATGCAACCTGGACATCGTGCATGCAGGTCGCGAATAACTGTGTCATGCAAACGGAGCGCCGCGCGTTTGAGTTAAAAATCGTCGATAAAGCTAATTGTGGGGTTGTCAAAACTAGCGAGAAAAATGTCCCCTCATTGATTCCGCTAAAGTGTTTTTTGTTGTGCGTGCCATTTGCGGCAGGCGTTTTACTTGTCCGCTTGACGCATTGTGCAAGCGGCTGACACTTATCGATTGCGATGGTGGGCGGCAGCCTCCTGGCAGCAGATGGTGAATGTGCATGTCACCGGAATGAAACAATGGGGAGGTAGCAGCAAATTATTTGGAGGAGAGGAAACCCAAAAAAAACCCCACACGCAACAACCGCAAGTGAAAAGGAATACTTTTATTGTGTGACACACATCGCATCGCTTCTCACGCCGACACCGTTTGTCATAGTTAAGGCTGGAATCCGCAGCGCCCACATGACAACTTCGATTTGTCACGTGCGTGACACAATTATTCGCGACCTGCTCCAGCAGCCCAGGCCACCCGAGGTCAATTTTCCGCTGCGGTGAACGTCGGTGGCGAGTGGTTATCTGAAGCGGCTCTGACCGCCAACTCCCGCCCACCACGAGCCCGCATTGATGGGCGTGCCGAGGGGCTCATGGTCACGCAACCTCGGTGACCGGCACGGCACGTGGTGCGCCTCGTCCAGCGGGTGATTGACAAAGAGGCTGTACGTGAAATTGTTGTATGATTTATTACAAAGGGTGAATTGTGCAGCCCTGCGATTCCCTCTCATGGAGAGCCCCTCTAGGTGGGTGTTCTTCATCGCAAGGCCCGACGGGGCCACTGGCGACGCGGTGTTGGCCTTTAGCGCGGCCCTTTGACATTACACAAATGTGAAATCACTCCCCGCCGTCGTCGTGCTGCTGTCAAACCCAACAATGGTTTCAAATGTGTGGCGGCCCTCGCACTAATTATGTCTTATCGGCGAAAGCGGCCCACGCCCTCTGAAATGTCGTGAAGAACACCGCTCTGGAGGGTAACGTGGCATACTCTTTCGCACCTGCCAGGATTTGTATGTTGCGTGTAGTCACCTTAAGATGTTTCTTGTTCACGTATTTTGTTTTTTTGCGGTTGCACCCGAGTCAAGAGACGCATGGCTCACAGGGTTATACCGAATAAATGAATCTGAATCTTGTAAGAGGTAGCAGTACACACGTGTTACCGCACTGCACGTGACCTGCCGCCAATGCCGTGTGCCGTTTATACTGCTGGGTAGGCAGAAGCGGAAGTGATTTAGGAATCTTACACGTAGTGTCAACTGCATGTGAATAAATACACGTATGCTTTATGCATTTATGCGGGACGCTTGAATAAATTCGATGCTTAGAAGTGGTGGTGTGTGATTGATACTCTCTTTCGCTGCAGGTGAACGGAATCAATGTCGTGAGCTGTACTCACGAAGAGCTGGTAAGTAGAGTAGTTCACGTGAAAACACACTCATTGCGCCGAGGCCACGTTATCATTCTACGTGTACGCATCATTTCTCGACGCATAAACTTGCTCAAATTAGCTTTCGCACACCCACCTCTGTGTACGACTTATGCATAATTAACAAACATGGTCTCATAGTTTTAAAATGTCCTTAAGGTTATCGTCGATGGTTAAAACAGCCAGAGATTGTTCACGGGGATTTAATTTCTGAGTTGTCCGGTGCTGAGCTCCAGAAAATACCTCCCCACCACTCGCGGTAGGGGCATAAAGGGCGGAATGGTTGGGAGAATTGGGGGTTGAGGGACCCTGGAAAATTTCCGATGGGAAATTAAGCACCGATTATATATTAATATTCTCCGAGAGCAAGTTTGTAAATCGTCACCCAGTGGCAATGGTGAAAGCGATGGTCATGTTGTTGTTTGTTGAACAGATTTCCCGATGTCCAATGTTCAGACACATTAAATGTGAATTAAGCACTGCCTGTAAATGCCTTGAGGAGTGTGCTTCATCGCGATGGACGGATAACATTGTACGTTCAAACATTCACTTGGGCATAAAATACTGGAAGCGAATTCTTTGAATATTATACTGTTCAATTATCATGGGCTTGGATAAAAAAAATCCCAGCGAACATTTGGCAACGGTGGATCACGCGGGGTCACCTCGTGTCTCCACGAGGTCCCCCACGTGATCCGCACCCGTCGCGTTCGTCGTGTTCAGCGGAATTGCCTCCGGCTCTGAAATGCAACATCAAGGCGCAATAATGTGACAACGGACGTGAGAAAATAATCGCGTGTTCTGCGAATGCAGTGACATAGCAACAACGCAAATGAGAGGTTTCGTTTATGTCCAAGATTAGGGCGACTTCATTCACGCTGACAGTAGAACACATAAAGTGTGTAATTGTATCATTGGGGCAACAGAGACAAGGTAGCCGTTGGGTTTGACAAAGTGCAGGTTGACACACAATAAGAAGGATAGCCCAAAAAGTCACTGATGCTCATTGTTATCCTTGCCTCTTGCCGGCGTATGGTAAACTCGTACTACGGGATCTTCTGTTGTACTGCTGGATAGACAGAAGTCGATGGGTGATGCTAAGAAGAAAGGATGAATGTCTCTAGGCTCAGAGTGGATGGTGGTGCTGACTCAAAGAGAACAATGATAATGCATCACGGGCAATCGGTGTTTGCACATTAAGTTGGTCGATAAATCGACTGTAAAATATAATCGACTACTTTATTGTGCTCGATTTACTTGGGCACCTTTACAATGGTGGCCACCCCCACATCCTGCCCACCGAAGGTGGGAAACCCCGGCATGCCCTTTCCAGAGTCACATGGCTGATGATGCAAGTAACTCAACCAAGTCCCGTCCATGACCTCCCATCTGGCGGCACACAGGGCAACAGGAGTGAGATCTCCCAGCCCCAGCTGTTTACATGTTATCCGATGAGTCGAGAGTAATCAAGCAGACAACCGGTTGAGTGATCGGTTACATAGGAACAACAGCCCAGATCGAGTGCCGACTCACAATGATGTTGTCGCTGGCTCACACTCACAAAGAGCGGCACGGGCAGCTCCGAGGCGAGGCTTGGAGCTATCTGGAATGCGATGGCATCATTAACTCTGCAGCGCGGTACTTTAACCCTGGCCTTTGAAGACACTTTTTTTTCTTCTTCTTCAATTGGCATATTGAAGAGGAGTTTTCGAAATTGAATTTCCACTCAGAATATTTCACCCGTGTATTTGAATCGTACCCCCCCCCCCCTCCCTATCTGCTTTCGAAAGAGTAAAAAAGTTCCTTGCTAAATATTATTTTCAAGAGCGCTTTATAGTTGTGGGAGCATTATTCGACTCGACTTTAATGCAAGGAAGTAATTTCACAAACCATTTACTGTAGTGAAAATGCCAACTTCAAGAGGATGTATTGGACATTTTAGGTGGAACTTATAATATGGACTGTGCCAGAGCCATTAGCATGATGTATGAAGGAACCAAACATAAATTAGAAATGGAAAGGGGGGAGTATAAACCCTCCGCTTTCCACAAGTTGTTTACGGTTTGGCTCATAATTTTTTCTTCTTCTGTGTTCTATGTGCGTATGCGGTCTCACTGAGAGAAAATATTTCATATGCTAATAATCCATATGCAGTTCTTATGGCGCAACGGGGAGGCATAACTCATGGCGGAGCAGCATACGCGAAATGAAAATTCCATAATGCATTAACCTCAAGGTGCAAGCGTTCCTTATGGAGAGGCATAATTCCAAGGACCATAAAGCGGAGAGAAACACACGCAATGCCTATACAACAGATGGATTTTCCAATCCATTAATTGCGGGAGCACAATACGTAAATAAATAAATATTTGCCACGAAATGCAAACATGCTTTTGTGCCGGTCACGCTAATTATTGTTACTCAAAGAATTGCTTTTTTTTCTCCGAAAAAAAGGCACAAGATGCATTCCGCGCCCACTCCACACGTGCCGATGGTGTGGTCGCGTGTGCAGGTGAGGATTCTGCGCAACGCTGGCGATGAAGTGACGCTGACCGTCGGATACCTGAAGGAGGCCCCGGCGTTCCTCAAACTCCCTTCCAGTGAGGAAAGCAACTGTGAGTGCCCCCCCCCCCCAGCACGTCTTGAGTCACCCCAAACTCTGGGCGAGACGAGCCCGTGGGCGTCTCTCGCTTCAGTCACTCGGTGGCGTTCAGCGTCGTTGACAAAATAGCGGCGTGTAGAAATGTCGGTGCCGGTCAGCCATCATCGACCTCGCCCCCTTCCCACGTGACACACAGATTTTGAAGGTCTTTGGTTATCGATCCACTGTAGGTTCATGCGCTGCCCTCTGCACCCTCTCTTTCCCGATGGCGCTCGCTTCTCTGTTAAACGTGGGCAGCCACTCCGCTTGTAGTCTAGACACTCCATGTGTGATCTAGACACTCCGTGTGTGGTCTAGACACTCCGTGTGTGATCTGGACACTCCGTGTGTGGTCTAGACACTCCGTGTGTGGTCTAGACACTCCGTGTGTGGCCTAGACACTCCGTGTGTGATCTAGACACTCCGTGTGTGACGTAGACACTCCGTGTGTGACGTAGACACTCCGTGTGTGGTCTAGACACTCCGTGTGTGGTCTAGACACTCCGTGTGTGGTCTAAACACTCCGTGTGTGGTCTAAACACTCCGTGTGTGACGTAGACACTCCGTGTGTGACGTAGACACTCCGTGTGTGATCTAGACACTCCGTGTGTGATCTAGACACTCCGTGTGTAATCTAGACACTCCGTGTGTGATCTAGACACTCCGTGTGTGATCTAGACACTCCGTGTGTGGTCTAGACACTCCGTGTGTGATCTAGACACTCCGTGTGTGGTCTAGACACTCTGTGTGTGACCTAGACACTCCGTGTGTGACGTAGACACTCCGTGTGTGATCTAGACACTCCGTGTGTGATCTAGACACTGCGTGTGTGGTCTAGACACTCCGTGTGTGATCTAGACACTCCGTGTGTGGTCTAGACACTCTGTGTGTGACCTAGACACTCCGTGTGTGATCTAGACACTCCGTGTGTAATCTAGACACTCCGTGTGTGGTCTAGACACTCTGTGTGTGACCTAGACACTCCGTGTGTGATCTAGACACTCCGTGTGTGATTTAGACACTCCGTGTGTGACCTAGATACTCCGTGTGTGATCTAGACACTCCGTGTGTGATCTAGACACTCCGTGTGTAATCTAGACACTCCGTGTGTGATCTAGACACTCCGTGTGTGATCTAGACACTCCGTGTGTGGTCTAGACACTCCGTGTGTGATCTAGACACTCCGTGTGTGGTCTAGACACTCTGTGTGTGACCTAGACACTCCGTGTGTGATCTAGACACTCCGTGTGTAATCTAGACACTCCGTGTGTGGTCTAGACACTCTGTGTGTGACCTAGACACTCCGTGTGTGGTCTAGACACTCTGTGTGTGACCTAGACACTCCGTGTGTGACCTAGATACTCCGTGTGTGATCTAGACACTCCGTGTGTGGTCTAGACACTCTGTGTGTGATCTAGACACTCCGTGTGTGATCTAGACACTCCGTGTGTAATCTAGACACTCCGTGTGTGATCTAGACACTCCGTGTGTGATCTAGACACTCCGTGTGTGGTCTAGACACTCCGTGTGTGATCTAGACACTCCGTGTGTGGTCTAGACACTCTGTGTGTGACCTAGACACTCCGTGTGTGATCTAGACACTCCGTGTGTGATCTAGACACTTCGTGTGTGATCTAGACACTCCGTGTGTGATCTAGACACTCTGTGTGTGACCTAGACACTCCTTGTGTGATTTAGACAATCCGTGTGTGACCTAGACACTCCGTGTGTGATCTAGACACTCCGTGTGTGGTCTAGACACTCTGTGTGTGACCTAGACACTCCGTGTGTGACCTAGACACTCCGTGTGTGATCTAGACACTCCGTGTGTGGTCTAGACACTCCGTGTGTGATCTAGACACTCCGTGTGTGATCTAGACACTCTGTGTGTGATCTAGACACTCCGTGTGTGGTCTAGACACTCCGTGTGTGATCTAGACACTCCGTGTGTGATCTAGACACTCTGTGTGTGATCTAGACACTCCGTGTGTGATATAGACACTGCATGTGTGGTCTAGACACTCCGTGTGTGACCTAGACACTCTGTGTGTGATCTAGACACTCCGTGTGTGATCTAGACACTGCATGTGTGGTCTAGACACTCCGTGTGTGATCTAGACACTCCGTGTGTGATCTAGACACTCTGTGTGTGGTCTAGACACTCCGTGTGTGGTCTAGACACTCCGTGTGTGGTCTAGACACTCTGTGTGTGATCTAGACACTCCGTGTGTGATCTAGACACTCCGTGTGTGGTCTAGACACTCCGTGTGTGATCTAGACACTCCGTGTGTGATCTAGACACTCCGTGTGTGGTCTAGACACTCTGTGTGTGACGTAGACACTCCATGTGTGAACTAGACACTCCGTGTGTGACGTAGACACTCCGTGTGTGAACTAGACACTCCGTGTGTGTGGATTACTCAGCCAGTCACAATCTGTACAGGCCAATTAACATGTACCTGGACTTATTATTTTTGTGGTAAAGCTTTGGCAGGTGTACGTGATGTAGGGTTGGCACCTGGTGTACAGAACGATGATAATCGCCAATGGGGGTGTAACATTGCATCGATTCATAAAAAAATATTATTGATTGTTTAGCTGATAGTACACGCATAGAACCATGCATGTCAGAATCTATTATCTTAGATTCGTATATGCTGTATGTAACTCCCTCACTTCACTCCAGTAACCACCAGAGAAAGAGAACAGAGACATGCATTCTTCAATAAAATCGTGACCCTGAATTGCGACAATGCAACGTACGGCCGGGGGAAGGGATTAATCCCCACATCTAATCGCCAATGATCCCCTTGATAATTGGTTCTTTACCCTTCTATCTGGCAACAAAACTGACACCTTTTTGCAAGGAGTCATGTTTGCATAGACCGCAATACCTGCAGTCATAATACAAACAAAAGAACATAACTCTGATAATGTGCACTGTCCTTGAAGTTGATTGGTCCACACCCGAGACAGCTTTCCTTCTAGCCTAGTCTCATATGGGTTGGACCAGATGACGCCAAAAGGCGCACAACTCAAGGACAATGCACCATCAGAGTATGAGAGCTCGGGGCAAGCATCTACACTATGGGGACCTCATTTGCCAGTAAAAATATGATAATTGGTTCTTTACCCTTCTATCTGGCAACAAAACTGACACCTTTTTGCAAGGAGTCATGTTTGCATAGATCGCAATACCTGCAGTCATAATACAAACAAAAGAACATAACTCTGATAATGTGCACTGTCCTTGAAGTTGATTGGTCCACACCCGAGACAGCTTTCCTTCTAGCCTAGTCTCATATGGGTTGGACCAGATGACGCCAAAAGGCGCACAACTCAAGGACAATGCACCATCAGAGTATGAGAGCTCGGGGCAAGCATCTACACTATGGGGACCTCATTTGCCAGTAAAAATATGATAATTGGTTCTTTACCCTTCTATCTGGCAACAAAACTGACACATTTTTGCAAGGAGTCATGTTTGCATAGACCGCAATACCTGCAGTCATAATACAAACAAAAGAACATAACTCTGATAATGTGCACTGTCCTTGAAGTTGATTGGTCCACACCCGAGACAGCTTTCCTTCTAGCCTAGTCTCATATGGGTTGGACCAGATGACGCCAAAAGGCGCACAACTCAAGGACAATGCACCATCAGAGTATGAGAGCTCGGGGCAAGCATCTACACTATGGGGACCTCATTTGCCAGTAAAAATATGATAATTGGTTCTTTACCCTTCTATCTGGCAACAAAACTGACACCTTTTTGCAAGGAGTCATGTTTGCATAGACCGCAATACCTGCAGTCATAATACAAACAAAAGAACATAACTCTGATAATGTGCACTGTCCTTGAAGTTGATTGGTCCACACCCGAGACAGCTTTCCTTCTAGCCTAGTCTCATATGGGTTGGACCAGATGACGCCAAAAGGCGCACAACTCAAGGACAATGCACCATCAGAGTATGAGAGCTCGGGGCAAGCATCTACACTATGGGGACCTCATTTGCCAGTAAAAATATGATAATTGGTTCTTTACCCTTCTATCTGGCAACAAAACTGACACCTTTTTGCAAGGAGTCATGTTTGCATAGACCGCAATACCTGCAGTCATAATACAAACAAAAGAACATAACTCTGATAATGTGCACTGTCCTTGAAGTTGATTGGTCCACACCCGAGACAGCTTTCCTTCATATGGGTTGCCCCGAGCTCTCATACTCTGATGGTGCATTGTCCTTTAGTTGTGCGCCTTTTGGCGTCATCTGGTCCAACCCATATGAGACTAGGCTAGAAGGAAAGCTGTCTCGGGTGTGGACCAATCAACTTCAAGGACAGTGCACATTATCAGAGTTATGTTCTTTTGTTTGTATTATGACTGCAGGTATTGCGGTCTATGCAAACATGACTCCTTGCAAAAAGGTGTCAGTTTTGTTGCCAGATAGAAGGGTAAAGAACCAATTATCATATTTTTACTGGCAAATGAGGTCCCCATAGTGTAGATGCTTGCCCCGAGCTCTCATACTCTGATGGTGCATTGTCCTTGAGTTGTGCGCCTTTTGGCGTCATCTGGTCCAACCCATATGAGACTAGGCTAGAAGGAAAGCTGTCTCGGGTGTGGACCAATCAACTTCAAGGACAGTGCACATTATCAGAGTTATGTTCTTTTGTTTGTATTATGACTGCAGGTATTGCGGTCTATGCAAACATGACTCCTTGCAAAAAGGTGTCAGTTTTGTTGCCAGATAGAAGGGTAAAGAACCAATTATCATATTTTTACTGGCAAATGAGGTCCCCATAGTGTAGATGCTTGCCCCGAGCTCTCATACTCTGATGGTGCATTGTCCTTGAGTTGTGCGCCTTTTGGCGTCATCTGGTCCAACCCATATGAGACTAGGCTAGAAGGAAAGCTGTCTCGGGTGTGGACCAATCAACTTCAAGGACAGTGCACATTATCAGAGTTATGTT